AAAGCTTAAAACTTAAAAAATAGTGTTGATCGATAAATCTATGAAAACTTGAAAATCTTAAAAATTGACAGTCCAATAATGCGTTACAAAATACACTATTTCAAAAATTTGAAATCCTTTTTTTCTCATGTTCATGCATCTTGATGTCGAGATAATCAATTTGAAGATATTTGGGCATCAAAACTACATTTTCTAGTGAAATTTTTGTGGTAGGCTCTAATTTGATTGTTTAGAGCCTCAGCTCTATATAAACTTTTCCTTTATTTTATTTATTTATTATTTTATTTATATTTGATTTCATATTAATTTTTAGAATTTACATAATTTATTTTATTTTATTTTTATTTTTATTTTATTTGTATTTAAATCCATTTTATTTTGAATAGACTTTCCTATGGTATTTGCATGAAAATATCACATAATCCTTTATCGAGCCCACCACAAGTTTGGAGTTGCTCTCAATCTCAATGCTCCTACAATTAATTTGTTGCACCCGCTCCAATCCGCTTTTCTAAACCCGAAACTCAGTTGCATCATTTTGAAAGTTTGGTGTACCCCATGTTTATCTATGAATAAGTAAAGAAGCCATATTGTAGTCCTAACGGTAATGGAAATCTTATTGTCCGACTCAAGACCGTATCTTTTCAACCGTCCCATTCTCTCTTCATATTGTTTCCTGACATCAATGGATTATTACTTTGGGAAAATATCTCTTTATCTTTTATTTTTAAGTTTTATTTTTTGATAAACTTAAAGGTTTCAAAAGATACGTTCTAACTCCCTCGTCACTTTAAACCTAGTTTCTAACCTAGACAAAGGTGAGAAAGATATGTTCTTTTTAAACCCAATTTTTTATCTCTCTTCACTTATATACTCCAAACTTCTCTCTTTTTCTATCTTCCCTCCCGTGTTTCTCCAAACACCTATCTCTCTTATCCCAGTGACCTATCACCCCCATGAAGCCCTTCTTTTTTATCTATCTTTACTTATATCTCAAAACTTCTCTTTTTCTCTCTCTTCCCGTATATCTCACTCTATCTCCTCCCGTATTTCTCCAAATACCTTTCTCTCTCATCCCAGTAACCTATCACCTCCATGAAGCCCTTATCTCTCTAGAAGTTTGGGAGGATGGCTTTTAGAAAAGGTATATCTTTTTAGATTTGTTTGGCCTAAAAAAACAAGTTTAAATTAACTCAAGTGGTTAGAAAAAATAAAATCTACAATTTTTATACGTCAGTATATCTTTTAAAGCCCTAGATCTATTGTTAAATGAAACCTAAAAATATGCGTATGGAGATATTTTCCCTATTGCTTTTACATTTCATGCTACTGCAATGCACTAAAAAATCTAAAATACCAAAAGCTGTATACAATCCCTTTTCCATAGGTAGATGGTTGTACATAATTGTGACCACCTTGTATAAAAGGTAAATAGTATCGTTGTATACAATCCCTTTTCCATAAATCCAAAACTAGAAAGGAAAACTTTTTATGTTTCCCTTACAGCATAGAAGTTCTATCCCCCCTTATCCATCCGTCAATTTTTTAATGGAGGGCTTAGATTGTCCCAATCACAATGTCACATCTCTACACTATTTTATTTTTAATTTTTTTTATATAAACTTTTTTGACACCAAATTTTAGACATCCATTCCTCTATTAAACTCGCACTAATGAAAAATATATAAAAAAAATATTTTCAATAAAATAAAACAAAGAGCTTTGATCTCCACATAAAGAGAATATAGAATACAGTAAATCAACTTGTACAAGAAAAAATGCATTAAAATCACTCAGATTCAAACTTGACTAACTTATACATATTTCAATTTTATTATGAGATACAAATAGGCATTGTCTGCAAAGAGATCATTTATTTTTGGGAAAATATCTCTATAGACCTAGCTTTAAGTTTCACTTCTCCATAGACCCAAAGTTTCAAAATCTATTTTAAGGCACAGAGATTTTATCTATTGTATCTTCTAACCTCCAAGAACAATTTTAACCATTTTTAATTCATCTTTTAGCCCAAAAAAATTTAAAATGATATCATTTTCTAAAGTCTAAAACCCTACTCCCTCTCCTCGTGTCTCTCTCCTTAAATCTCTACTTTCTCAACTTTCTTTGCCTCTCTATCCCGGGGTCTCTCTCTCTCCTCCATATTTACCCAATTCCAAATCCTTCTCCCTCTCTTTTTCTCGCGGGTCTCTCCCTCTCTTTCTCCCGTGCTTACCCAAATCCCCTCCTCTCTCTTTTTTAAGATAAAGGTTTTTGCAGAGAGATGGAAACTGTTATCACAGCTACTCTTTGCAGGCAGCTGGCCTATGTCCATCGAAAGAATGAGGAGTAGCAGAGAGGAAAGTTAGAGAGAAGAAGAGAACTAGGAATGCAATAACAATAAAAGAGAGAATAAAAATAAGAAGAAGGATGGGAAGAAGAAGTACAAAGATGTTTATGTTTCAATGCTCATATTACGAAAGGACCACGATATCAAGCTTCAACGGATTGAGGAGCCCTAGAACCTCCAATGCCACCTCACTTGGGATGAAGTATCTACTGCTCTTTTTAACCCACAGTTCCTCTCTCTATGCCGATTACTCTTTTTGACCCACAATCCCCCTCTCTCTCTCTAAACCCTCTCTAAAACAAAAGTATATTGTTCTTTTTTACCCACAATCCCCCTCTCTCTCTCTAAAACAAAAAACTCACAGAACCTCCCTCTCCATGAAAAAGCCATGCATACACTTGGTATCTCTCTACAAAAGCACAATCACTCACTCTTTCTCTAGAAAATGAATATACCATTTTCCCTCTACCAAAATGTAAAATACCCTCCCTCTGCTCTAACAAAGAACAAAATACCATCTCTCTTTCACTCTATCCCCAGTATTGGCTCATAAACTCCCAAGCCGCTTTGATCTTGCCGCAAATTCATACTCTACAGCGAAGACAGAGCCCTTCTCTTGTATCCCAAAAAGAGGCCAATATGGTGGAATGAGCTCTGCTGGCCCATGTTGCAATGGGCTGATAGGAATAACCCTTGCTCCCCGAGAGTTGGGGGAAGTACGGGAGAAAGAGGTTTAGAGATTCACATGGAGAGAGAAAGAGGGGAGAAGTACAGGAGAAAAAGAGGTTTGGAGATTCAAACGGAGAGAGAGAGGGGAGAAGTACAGGAGAGAGAGAGGAGTTTGGGGATTCATAGGGGTCGAGAGAAAGAGAAACGTGTGGAGAAAGAGGGGGGTTTAGAAAGATAAAACACGCAGAGAGAGGGTTTAGAAAAGAGCTATTTTTCTAATTTGTTTGGACAAAAAAGATAGGTAAAAATGAAAAAATTGGTCTAAAAGATTAGAAGATAGGCTTTAAAACCATGGGTCTAGAAAAAAAAGAAACCTAAAAATAGGATCCATGGATATATTTTTCCTTTTATCTTTTGTACATGGAGGTCACAATCATTTTTGCCCTGTAAATTTCAAAACGGGTGGTTGTAAATGTGGCATTGAATAAACACAAGATTCCAAAAAAATATTTTCAAACTTCGTAACTCACCCCAAGCAATCCAATTTGCCACTTAAGAAATGAGAATGATTGTAACCTCCTTTGTACAAAAGATAAAAGACCTTTCTGTAGACATTCCTATAAAAATAACCTAGAAAGAAATAAGTGCGATTTGTATAGAGCCTAGGCTCTAAACAATCAAATTAGAACTACCTTCAAATAGTGTCGAGAAATGTAGTTTCAATATTAGAAATTTAATTCGTGTTATTTTTATATTTTTTACATGTGTAGTGATGTTATTTCATTAAATATTCTTTCATTAAATGATTATTTTTATATTTTTTAAATGTGCACTGATGAGAAGTGTGAATACCCAAAATTTAAGCTTAATCCATTGTACATAACATAATAAAATTAAAATACAATATATGCTCTAAAAATGTGGAACTTGAATGTGAAATGCAAAATATATAAGAATGATTTTGGGATCATATAACAAAGAAAGTTTTTTCTATAAATTCGATTGACTAGAAACAAAGTCGTTTCAAGAATTCAATCGTTATTTCAATTTTTAGTGAAAACGATGTTGTTTTGATTCATTTATTATCGCATGCCATTAGTCCTCTCCAACAACGAATCTAGACCATTCATTTGGTGAATTTCAAGATCTTAGTACTTACAAATTCAAAATCATTTTTCTTTTTTCTATTTTAACATTGTTCATCTAATGATAATAAAAGCATCTAAAAAAAAATGGAAAAAGAAAAAAATCCCTCTAAAATCTAGATCTATGCATCTTTATCAAAATAGACGGCATATGTTAATTGGACTAAAAAAATATATTTTAAGTTCCAATTTCAAAATTTTCTTTTTTGTGATTAATCATTAGAATGAAAAGACTTGAAAAAACTGTATATTTCAAAATTTGGATCAAACAAATAGCCCCAACGTGGTTTTTGAAGATTATTGCATGATACTACGATACAACCATTACATGAAATCACTACCCCTTATTTTAATTTGTTATTTTTCTTAAAAGTTCGTGTATTCTATGAAATCTGATATTTAGATCTTATTCCCCCTTGTGTGCCATTTCTTAAGCCTAGCTAAGCTAAATTTATGGCATGAGCCTCAACACATTCAAAACCGCAGCAAAATTCTAATTATAAAGTTTCTGTCACGGAAAAATTCCAACTTTCCTTTAACCATACTGTGTCGTAGAAAGAGAGATTTGTTATGTTGCTGCATTCTTTTTCCAGTTTGAGTAGGGAAGTAGATCTGTACAATGTAGGAACTTCAACCTCCCTAGAAGTCTTACATGCACACCGACAGTTTGTACACGTACTCACACATAGAAACCAGCCACCAAGAAACTAAAAACTCTACCCTTCTGTGTTCAATTGGGTTACCAATATCTCTGTTTAAATTATCTTATGATCGACAAAGTTTTGGAAATAACTCACAAAGAGAATCAGTTAAATCAAAAAATATCCAACAATTAAATGTGATTGGAAAAAAAAACATGCACGGTTGTTTATAAAGTGAAAGCACTTCATGTCAATCACAAATGCATTAATCATTCAGCACAGTTACATGATAGGCTTTATCTTGATTCTTGACAAGTTAAAGTTACACGACAACCTTCCCAGCCAAAACATACTCCCAAGCAAAGTGCCTCAACTTCAAGCTTGAAGAACCAATTATTTGTACATGTAATAGCTCAAGAATGTTCTCCAAATCCCTGTAATTTAAATGTGTTATTTCTCTAGAAATATATGCACCATCTTAAACCAAATTTTGTTATGGCTTCACCCAAAAGGAAATAGAAAATAAAAAAATGGCACTTGTAAACAATTAATAGTAATCATAGTAACTAGAACTATCTTCACATCAACTAGATTGAACCCATGCAATCCAATATACAAGGGAACGTATTCTGATACCATATAGAGTTCAAAATTGAAACAGAAATCTAAAGGGGCATTACCATGACTTATAACAGGATATTCATTTTCTTGCTAAGTGTACGTAATACCACGTACACAATCTCAACCACTTACACAAATCCCAGGCAGGTCATACTTCGAGAAATCAGAGTTGTCTGTGATTGTATCTTGATTCTCCATACATCGTTCATCTGAACACAAGACAGATGAATGAAGTAGCATATCAGACAATATAATTTAGAAATCTTTTACTCTCTTCTTTTGTGCACAGTTTCCCATATCAATGGGCATATCAGTTATTTGGGTAAGTACATTATAATCTAATGGACTCTGCGAAACCATGGTCCAGGGGGTTATCACTGTGCAATGAAATGACCAAGAATGATGACGACCATGGAACCCACCAGCACAGGGAATAACCCCAGTGTTGGGTCCACAGGGCCAACACACAAGAAATGCGGTTTTTCAAAAGGGTGCAGTTTGTATAGAGTCTAGGCCTCTAAACAATCAAATTAGAGCCTACCTTCAAATAGTGTTGAGAAATATGGTTTCAATATCGGAAATCTTTGTGATAGCCTTAAAATACATTTTCATATTTATTTATAAAGTTTAAAGATTAAAAAATAGTGCGGATCGACAAATCTATGAAAACTTGAAAATCTTGAAATTTGACGGTCCAAAAATGCATCACAAAATACACTATTTCCAAAACTTGAGATCCATTTTTTTCTCATGTCCATGCATCTTGATGTCAAGATGATCAATTTGAAGATATTTCGGTATCAAAACAACCTCTTCTAGTGCAAGTTTTGTGGTAGGCTCAATTTTGATTGTTTAGAGCCTCGGCTCTATATAAACTTTTCCCTCTTCAAAATCCATTTTAAGTATATTTTCTCCAGATATCTTAACACTAGAGTAAACTCATAATTATCAACAATTTATCAATAAAAATAGTTAAATGTTTGATACATACATAGCACGATTGTGATGCATATGTGAACCTGTTTCTTAAAGAGGGCATCTGATTTGAAAGGGTATGTCAATAATTTACCATAGAAAGGTGAATAGCCAGCAAATGAAGCATTTCAGAATGAACAGAATGGTAACATAAACCAACCATTCGAGCAAAAGATCTCTCTTTACACGCTCCTTGACCACCCTTGGGTTTTTTCTCCCAAAATTCTCTTGACTCATGACCTATCACCTCTCATAACTTCCAACCAACTCTGAAATCCATCCTAGACTCTTAAATTTGCCTTGTTAACGGCACAATCGACTCTTCTGGACAACCCTGTGGTTGTTACATACAACAAGAGATGCCCAACTTTAGGGTGAAGCTACTGCCAGGTGGATTACACATGTGAAAAAAAACAAGTCTTATTGTCCTTTAGGCTCCCGTGAAAGCATTTAAACCTTTTTTGTGAACAAAAATCCCCAAAACAGAAGTACTTGCCTTCAAATATGCCTTAAAGGTTGAATGAGGCTAAAAATATTTTGAGACACTTGCAGTCTCAGTTTTGAGTGCTTTGGGGAATTAATTGATCCATTCTACAATTGCACTTGGTTTTTTCCAAGTTCAAAATGTACCTTCTTCTTCAAAGACCTGCATCCTCAAAAAGGAGAGGTGCAGACATAAGAAGAGAAAGGACAGATGATTTAAGTCCATAAGCATTCAAAGCAAGACATTGCTCCATTACAGAAGCCATCCACTTTGCCAAGATGGACTAGCTCACAACTATTATTACAGGATTTAAAAAAAAGGAAATTTGACAATAAGATTTAAAAAAGAAAATGAGTGAGCTTCATGGCAAGTCTGTAACTGATTGAAGACCAAAACAAGATTACTGTAATAAATGTAAATTTTGCTTTAGGCCCTTCCTTCATTGCATTGGAGGCCTCAAAAGAGGGTCTGATCTAATGTTTTGCATGCCCTTCACTTTGTGAAATGGATCTACGATAAATAACCATCTAATATTAACTAAGAACAAAGTAGGTGTCTAGTTCTTCTAACTACCTATTCCAACACCAACAACTTAATCTTCTCATCCTATCTCACCATTGTCATAGGATCCTATCCAACTCCAAGTTCATAGATCCATTCCATTATCCAATTTTCTATTCTTCTTTTTGCACGGAGGCCAGATACCCCACTTCAACTACCAGAACATCCTTTCCACTTTACATGAGTTGCCTTACTATGCCATTACCCTAACCCATAGACTATTTCCTCAATTAGAAAAGCCCTCCAGCTGTTTCTGTCACCACAAACTAGGCCACAATGGTCCCTATATCCTCATTGTAATCCCTGTGAGCATCCATGTTGCATCAAACCAACAAATGCACCATGTGCTTCCGTATGATACAATGACATGGACATATGAGCCCACCTAAGAGTTAAGACACAGACACGATGTGCATGACATGGCTCCTCTTAAAGTGGTGTGTGGGATATGACACATTCACACAAGTCTGTACAAATGATATTTCCATATATTTATATATAAAAATGATATAAAACTTTTAATTGAAAAGTTTACCAAAAAAATAAAATAAGGGCGTCCAGAGTTGTGGATGTGCCTCCAGAATTATGAACACACATGTCTAAGTGACATACATTGTCTGAAGTAATGGAAACGAGCAACTAACACACCAACAACTGCCTGTGTAACACAATTGTTGACAGTATACATGCCAAGAATCGCGTGTCACGTGATATTTTTTTTTTTTTTAAGACACACTACAGACGCATTTGACCTGTGTCCGGTACTGTGGTGGCATCAGACTTTATGTTTCCATGTCAGGCACATCGCAAAAAGTGTGAGCCGTTCCTATCATGGGAGCTTCCCTTTATTATGCATGCATTTTTTAATGTAATTTTCCAAGTAAATTTCAACAATTTTCTATATATAAAAATCTAATATCTATGATGCCTAAATTCATCACCAAGTTCCCCTATAAAATTGGAAATCATAATTCTTTCCAAGTTACAGAACCTATGAAAAAATATCCACAATTGAATAATCACCAGAGACATTTAAAATTTAATCGAAACATCCTAATTATAACTATCTTTTCTTTTACGCAAAACTTCTTTTAGATGAAAATTTCCCTTGCCATCAATTTCCGCATTTCTACAGTTTTTCTTGCGTAAAAAGCATTTCCACATTTTTTTCATATTTTTCTAGTTCATCAACAGAGCTGGCCCAGTATTTTAAACTATATTAGAAAATATTTTCTAAGTCAAACCTCAATGCACAAATTGCTTTCATGAAAACCGAATCCAAAAGTCACAGGGAAATCGCGAAACCAACCAAATGTTTCTTATTTTAACCCGCCCTTATTTCTATATTAACTTAAACCAGCCAAATCTCAGTCCCAAATTCATATGTAACTATATGAAATTTACAAATTTAAACTTTCTTGCTATTTCACAAGAAAAAATTGAACATCTTTTTCCTAATGACCACTAATTTCTAAAGAAAGAGAGAGAGATTACAGTCAAAATGGTTTACCATTGAAATTTAATGAAAAACCATAAAAACTATCAGTGAGAGAGAGATGGAATTCAGATAAACCATTGAAACTAAGTCAAAACTCCACCAGAAATAAATAAATAAATAAACATAGGAGAAAGAGGAGGGGAACACAGTCAAATATCATGTAGGTTTACCATAAAAATTGAGGTAGAGAGAGAGTCTCACTGGATGATCTTTGGTATTTCTCCTTTTTGGAGAAGTGAGAGGGAATACTCAGCCGAGTCCATGAGATCATCAATGTTGTGAAGGGATCGCTCCTCAGAGGCATACATGAAGATGGTCCTCACCTCTGCTTTCTTTGCCAGACGTGCCGCTAAATTTAAAGGAAGTTTTGGAGAATTGATGCTTCTCAATATGCTTCTATACAGTGATAAGACCTTAGCCCTATTATTCGCCAAATCCTCTGCAGTAGCCCAGATCAAACCCCGTGCCATTAGCAGAAGCTCACTTCAACTGGTTATGGTTAATGCGCTGGGACTTCATGGCTGCTTACAGATAATTGTTCAGGTTATTGGGTTTAGGGTTTTGTCAACACCATCAAAGAGCTTACTGGTTACAACCAATGTTGTCAGGACCGGACCCGTGACCCAACCTGTGAGGGCACCAGTCCAGTTAGACCTGCCAAACCAGACCAGTTCACTGGTCAGACCATTCTAAAAAATTTAAAAATAATAAAAATTGTAAAATAAGGAAAAATTGGGGAAAAATAGAGGAATTATGAACAATAGGAAAAAAAATCTCAAATAGCAAGAAAAATTCAGAAAGGAGTGGCTTAAACTTCTTGTCTTACATAGCAAAAGGAGTGGTTCGGTTGCCAGACTCCAATGAAATGGGTGCAGATTTTGGCGACTATAACTCACAAGTATTTCGGTCATTGTCAAAATATAGAGAGAGACCAAAGATCTATAAAATTTTGAAAAAACGAACGAAGAACTGTAGGCTTAAACAAATAGTTGAAGACTACCGTAATATAAACGGGGCCAGAGAGAGACAAAAATACAGCAAATAACACTAAAGTTGGAGAAACCACTAAAGTAAAAATAAATAAAATGTTTCTTCAAAAAAAAAAACAAGAGAAATAGCCAATTTAATAAATCATATTAGATTTCAAAAAACCTTAAAAAAAGCATTTTTTAACATAAAAAAGCATGAATAAACACCCCCAACTAATGGATATTTGATTGAGATTGAATGAGATTCAAGGTTCATCACAAGATTTCTTGCAAAAACCATGAAGAAAAAAAAATCAAAATGTTCTATTTTTCGAATAATAAATCAAACAAGCATACCAGTAGTTGAATATACACTTACTTGGGCTTCAAACAAGTGTGGATTGATGGTAGGATTGGCTGTCGAAATCACCGGAAAAAAGCCCTAGAAATGGTGGAGCTTCAGTAGATGTATTGAAAAGAAAAGAAAGGTTTCCAGGCATCTAACGACAATGGCAACCATCATTATTATCACGAATCATGCCAACTAAGTTCAGCATCCCTTTTCAAATATTACCAAAGTGACCTACATATGATGGGCCCCAACACCTCACCAGGAACAACAAGGATGAACTGGAACATAACAATATTCAAAATGGAACCTACAATGTCAAAATGTATATCTAACAGCTGTCATCAGAGGCCTAATCAGTACGACCAAAATATAGCTGCATGGAACTTTCTCCCAACACTAATCGTAGATACCCATAATGGCATAACAATCAGTCACAAGGGAAGAGTGTGAACTTAATCTAAAATGCAAGTTCATTGCTTTTTCTATTTTAGTGCATGTTATCAATGGAAAGAAAATATTGAAAGTGAAATTCGAAGCAATAATTAAATTTCACCAGAAAAAGAGAGCAATTTAAACTCTTCAAAATTTTAAACTCTCTGCCGGGGCCTTCACATCGAAACTCATCAAATTTTCAAACTTCAAAATTAATATATTTTCTGAAATCCCCCAAATAGAAGAAATCAAATCAAGGCTATAATTATAAGAAATCCCTCAAAAATAAAAAGACAGTAAACTTTTACCACGATTTGCTCCGCATAAAATGAGGATCTGAACGATATTGCTTAAAATCATAGACTGCATTAAAATTTCAAAAGTAAAAGTTTTAAAGGTATAAAATTCATAACTAGAAGGGCATAAAATTGACCTGTAAACTTTGGACCAAAGGCTATGAAGAAAACAGAGCTTAGGCTTCAAAAAAGTCGCGGGCTTGGAATGAGCTTTTGTTCGATAAATTGCAGAAACAATGGAGTCGCTTTCTCTCACTAAAAAGGGACTTTCTCTCTCTACTATAGGCTTCCGCATGGGTACTATAGAGAGAAAATCGTGCTTCTTTACAACACAAAAAACCAGTAAGAACTCAAAAAAGAAAAAACAGAAAAATACAACAAAAAGAAACCAATACCCACATTTTTCTACAGAGATAATTTGTGCTTCTATACTCAATAAAATAAGTCAAAAATTAAAAAAAGCAACAAATTTCCATGGGGAAATCATAGAAAAAATATGTTTGCATTGGTAATTAAAAAAATCAGCGCCCTCTAGAGGGAAAACCAGGAAAATCACAAGAATAAAACCCATACCCTTGCTGAAGAAGATAAGGTATTTTTTATGGGGGTTCATAGGAGGAAACCCTAGGTAAATAATCTTTACAAAACTAGCAAAAAAAAAATTTTAAAAAAACACCAGCCAAAACAAAAACAAAAAAAATCTTACCTTAGTTGAAGAAGTTGAGGCTTAAAAATGGATCCTGGGTCTGTGAGAGAGTGTGCTGAGGGTTGAGAGAGAGTGGCGAGGGAGGCTTTGTGAGAGAGAAAAGGTCGGGCGTTGGCGAGCGTTTTGTATTTTCTCATAAAAAAATGGTTCAATTTTTTTTTTCTATTTTTATCATATTTTAAAATATGAATTTTTTACAATATAAAAATTCCAAAAAACAATTACGGGATTACCTCTGAAAATTTTATATTTGGGATACAAATTCCAAAAAAAATATATCTGGGATAAAAATGTAAAAAAACGGAAATTTGTATTTTTTAAAAAAATTCTATGTTTATCAGGAATTTGTAATTTTTAAAAGAAATCTATTTTTATCCCTTCTAAAATTATTTTCCAAAAAAAAAAACTGCCTTCTCTAAATAAATAAAACAAAGGTGCAGAGTCGAGGCTCTTAATAATCAAATTAAAGTTCACCTTTAAATATTGTCGGAAAATGTGTTTCAATATTGAAAATATTTGGATAGCTTTAAAATATATTTTTATTTTTAATTAAAAAATTTAAAAATTCAAAAATAATTTAGATCGAACATACCTGTGAAAACTTTAATAATTTAAAAATTAATGGTCTAAAAATACATTACAAAATACATTATTTCCAAAACTTGAAATCCATTTTTTTCTCAAGTCCATACATCTTGATGTTGATATGATCAATTTGAAGGTATTTGGGCATCAAAATAACATCTTCTAGTGATATAATCAATTTGAGGGTATTTGGACATCAAAACAACTTTTTCAGTGAAATTTTTTAGCTAGGCTTTAATTTGATTGTTTAGAGCTTAGGATCTATATAAACTTTTCGCAAAAAGAAATTTTGTATCCTCCCACAACAGTTTATCTCACGCCAGGTTTTATCCCCAAAATTTGTTCTTCAAAACTATTGAATCATAATGAAGGTAGGGGCCGTTTACCCTTTTTGTTTTAAACTTTTAAAGGTATGGATCTATTTGCATGTGGTTGCATATTGTTGAGCTATGGTTTTTATCTGATAAATTAATTTTTATTTTATTTGTGATTTTATTTAGTAGTGGTTATGGGTTTTGCTCTGTTGAAAATGTCAAAGGCTATTTGTGGGTCTCTTTGTTTTGGTATCTTTGTGGTTGGTTCTACCAATTAGTGACAATATATAAAATTATAAAGTTGCTAGTGACCTAATATAATCAAAGTTCCCCTATAATAATAAAACATGGTGGGTTTCAAAGTATTGTTTTAGGTTTAATGATATGTCAAACAAGTGGGAAGGAACTAAAAAGGTACGGTAAAAGTACATTTGCTACTAATTTTTTGATGCTTCAATCCGTATTGCTAGTAGACGAGGGTTTGAGGTTGATGGTAGCATCCTCTAAGTGGCTAGCCACGAGGTATAACAAAAGTGCAAATAGGAAAAAAATTCACTAAAATAACTCAAAGCTCAAATTTTTTAAATGATACGATAGATACAATCACCATAACAGAATATTTTGTCAAGGTATTTCGTTTAGTTGATAATGAGGGGTCAAGTATGGACTACTTATACGAAGCAATGCAAAGGGCAAATAAAGCACCAAATAGGAATTGTAATAGCAATGAATTTAGATATTTTCAATTGCTGAAAATTTTTTAAAAGTGTTAGAATGAAAATATAATTAACCCCATTCATTATGTTGCCACATTTCACAATCTTTAATGTGCAGTAGGTTTGTTAAACTTGATAATTTTGAAGTTAACACACACATTACTTTGAATTCAAATAATATGATCCCCAAAGAGAACAAAAAAGATGCTTCTAGAGTTGTTAAAGTACCATGCACACAATTGAAGTGTATTTGATGGTGTCGCAATTGGGATTATTGACAATAGCTCATTCTTGTGAGTATCTTTTTGTATTATTAGTTTTCTCATTACTTTAAGAAAATATTTTTATTTTCACTTTTAATTGTATATTGAATATGTGGCTACAAAATTTTTCAATGTGTAGAAGTTTGGTGACAAGTATGTGGAGAAAGCATTTCACAAGTTTGAATAATTATTATTTGGATTTTGAGCCAACCATGCAATTCATATATGTGCAAAATAAATTGGGGAGCTTTTGATGTAATATAAACTAAATAAATTGAAGCCAACTATGTTGACTGATATAGTTAACATAAGAGTGGCCTCAAAGATGATGGTTGCATCTCATGAAAATAAAAAACACAATAGTAATGCATTTAATAATTAAGAGTTTGACTCATTTCCAAAAGATATTTAAAAAAAGAAAAATTGATAACGAGAACATCTCCATAGATGATGATCATGATGCGTAGCTACATGACATAGGGATACATCTTTCCATGCTCCTAATTTTTCTATTGATTATGAGAAAAGTATAAATTAAACAATTTACCTTCAGTACAAGGTGGTTACAATTATTCTTGACCTTCAGATGTGAAGTTGGGCTGGTGCATTTATTTCATTGACCGAACTTAAAGTTCAACAAAAAAAATTATCGAACTTTGTGACATACCCAAGCTATTAGATTTCACATTGGTTGATTGCAAGTAATTATGACCTATTTGTACTAAAGATAAATGGTTTCATTGTATACAATATCTTAATTATGATGAATCTACTATGCCTTATATTTAAATTTGGACAATTCTAGTTACTCTATACCTTATCATTTTTTGTTGTTGCCTTATTTATGTATTTAATATTGGATAGTGGCATGAGAATCACAAGACATCTAAATTAAATGACTTAATTATATTAGTTTAATAAATTTTTCACGGATGCATTATTTATTGATTGCTTTTACAAACAATTCACATTTTAGAATTTTAAAATTTTATTTTTTAGCATATCCAATTTATTAGCCCTGACTTTTTATCCCAATCTGATATATTTTCAATATATTTACTTGTGATATTTTTGCGGACCCATATTTTTCTCCCGAATTTTTGCATCCGACTTTTTGCACCAAAACCAATTTAATTATCATTTTATAGTACGGCAATATATTGTTATTACATGACTTACTAAGGGCTGGATCAGACTTAAAACCAGTTTACAGTTCACTTGTTTGACTGTTTCTAATTTGAATCGGCCGGTCCAATCCATGCATCATTTTCAGCAACTGGTTCTAGCTATTAAGGCTAGGGTTTGTCCTTTCATGCGGGACATGGAGGGCGCCCAATAATTTCATAGTGTTAAAACTCAAAAGAACTGCCCCCGAGTTATTATTTTTGGACGCATGTGCCATTGATTTAAGGATAAGTTTATATAGAGCCCAAAAGTTTATATAATGCCCAGGCTCTAAACAATCAAATTAGAACATATCTCAAAAAATTCACTGGAAGATATTATTTTGATGCTCAAATATCCTCCAATTGATCATCTCGACATCATAGACATGAGAAAAAAAAATGGATTTCAAGTTTTTAAAATAATGTATTTTGTAACGTATTTTTTGACCATCAATTTTCAAGATTTTAAAATTTTTATAGATCTATTGATTTACACAAATTTGGAAGGTTTGCTCATTACAAATAAAGATGTATAAGGCTATTACAAACACATTTCTCGATACTATTTGAAGGTAGGCTCTAATTTGATTGTTTAGAGCCCAAACACAGTACAAACCGCACCATTTAATAAAAGATAATAGGAAAATAGGGCCTGCTTTTCACAATGGGAAATTGACCATGGAGCCCCTAAATAATTGAACACCAGCTTTTACACATTTTCCCGGGCAAACATCCGGCCACCATGGCCGGGAATAAGACGGACCAAATAATGCCTTCTATCTACGCCGGATTCCAGATCCGACGGCTGTTCTTGACTCTCATGGCCTTACTGGTCCCTCAGCTTCTCTTCTCTCGTCACACCCTCCGTACAAAACAGCAGAGAGAGTGAACTCAGAGGGACCGTACCTTGGCCTGGTCATGGCATATCCGCAGGAATCTGACGCCCTCCTCAGCTCAGGCGCCTTCACACCGAGCCCTGAAATCCCCTTCCTCGAATTCTCCGGTAACTTTTCAATTTTCCGGTGCTTCCACATAGTTTTCTTTCAAATTTACGGCACATTCACTCGTCTCGCCAGCAATATGAGAAATTTCGATCCCGTATCTTGGTTAAACTTTGAAATTTACTGCAATGAAAATGATTTCACCGGGAGGAGATTTAACATCGGTACCATTCAGAGGAAGATGTCATTTACGTCATGTCAGGCCGGAGGAGGTTCTGATTTTTCTATTTTTTTCATAATTTTTTATTTTAGACTTGCTAGCTTAGTAAATTTTTTATGGAGATATTAATTTACCGAAAAAATATACAAATGAGACTATTTACCTCACAAGTAATTTTCACCATTAGATGTGACATTGGGTGGCTATATATATTCTATTAACTAAGTCTAAAATTTAAAATAATTTTTTTTGAACTTTGTGACACATCCAAATTCTCAAATTTGGGATAGTTATAAGTAATTATGACCTATTTGTATCAAAGATAAATAGTAATACTGTACATAATTTTCAATTTACTGATTTTGTCAGTCCAAAAGTTGCATAACTGACCCCAAATAATTTAGAAAACGCTCTTATGATGATAATTTACTAGCCGACTAATTTCGATTTTTTGTTGTTGTTTTAGTTGAATGCAGAGGTAACAGTGCAAATTCTAATGGATTTGTTTGATGTGTATAGGATAGTTCATTATGCAACAGCGGGAGCACAAATACCTCCCTGTCCTTTGGGGACCCAAGTTCTAGCATATGCCGTTTCATGGGAGTGAATGGTAATAATCTTTCTCACTTTCTCTCTCAAACTTTTTTCATAATAATCTCTCTCTCTCTAATATTTTTCCCTTTATATGTTGGCTATTGAAAATAATCAAAGTATGATGCGCCTCCAATAAACCTTTGCAATAGCTTGGGATCTCGAGTTATGAATTTAAAGCTCTAAGTATAATGATCTATAAATAATAAAAAATCTTGAAACTAATGTCCATGTACTACAATATTATTTTGTTATTTGAATTATTTTTTATATTATATATCTTGAAGTCGACATGATTAATTGGGAATTTTTCAACATTAAAACCACTTCTTATAGTGAGCCTTTTGGTCCTTGGTGAGGAGGCATTTGGAATTTGGAGGCCGAAAAATCTACAAGTATGCGATTCCCACTCCAAATAATTGATAATTACAACAAGGCAAAAATTCCGTGCTAAGGTGTTGACCTTATGCTGTAGAAATAAGGCACACCTCAAAAACCCACTTGAAGATGTTTTGACATTGAAAACCCTTATAATGGGTCATATGAACATTGACATGAAAGCAATCAAAATAGTGCATATTGTGACGTTCACAATTTTTTAGTATATATAGATGGGCAAGCTTTCTATGTTTTCCCTATAGCATAGTAGTTCTATCATCTCCCTCATCCAACCGTCCAATCTGAATGGAGGGCTAGGATTGCTCCAATCACAATGTCACGTCTCTATGCTATTTTATTTTTAATTTTTTTCTATAAACTATGTTGACAACAAATTTTAGACATCCATTCATCTATTAAACTCGCACTAGCGAAAAATATATATAAAAAAATTTCAATAAAATAAAATGACCAAAATACCCCTGTAAGTTTCAAAGGGTATTTTGATCATTATATTTTTATCAGAAAATTATTTTAAATACTTTTTATAGGTGCACCCCAATGAGAAGATGGTATTTACCAAATTTCATATTCATACAGTTTGTATAAAAAAACTAAAAATAAAATATTTTGAGACATCGGATCTAAGATCAAACGGTGAGTGGCGCTCTTGATCAAAATTGAATGGTTGAATGGTTGGGTGAGGATATAACTTCTATACTATAAGAGAAGCATAAAAACCTTTCCCTATATGGATATGCTCTATGTTACATAAAAAAAGACTTGTGTATTTGATGCTAGTATCATATACCTCAAAAAATGTCATATACACATAACAACTCTCTACAATATACGGGTGTATATGTGTTCGCGTACGTGTGTGTTGAATATTATGTGCTGTTTACGTCAATATTTAAATTCACTACAATTTGTGTCATAATAATAGTAAAATTCGCAAAAATAAAATAAAATTTAATAAACAAAAAATTGTCACTTTATGGATCTAAATTTTATTCATCAATATTTTCTTATAGTCCAGTCCAAGATTGCATCACAACAACACGGAAAAAAGCTAAAAACTATTAGGCTGACTGTTAATTCAAAATAAAATCATTCTATTCCTTACTCAAGCTATTTTATTTTTTTAAATAACTCCGTGCGTTTTTCAAAATTGACTTATATAAATACGAACAATTTTCATATGTAAAGATAAATAACTTTTAAAATTGATTTAAGCAAAAAAATTGACTTATGTAGACAAGGAAAATTGTCCCCATTTACAAAATAAAAATGGCCATCAATTTTTGTATTTTGAAAATAAAAAATAAAAATATTTTATGAAGAATTGGCATTTCAAATGGGTGCAGTTGCCATACGGATGCATCCGTAACTGTAGAAGTAAGGTGCACCTTC